TTATTTTGTCGTTGTCTTTGTCGTTTGTTTACTAGCGCTTAGAACAGATTTGTATTTGCGCTTTATAAATAAATATTATTATTATTATTATTAAATAGTTTTATTTTATGCTAATCCTATTGTTTTCTGTTGTTTAATTAACACTAGCTAATCGCTAGCGAAAAGTAGACTTCTTAAAATAAGTATCAATGATCTTGAATATATTACTTAAATTAAGAATGCGAGGCCTAAAATAAGCAAAAAAGTCTTAATTCAGATTTCTATGCTTCCCAGGACAGTTATTGATTTTTCTGCTTATTTGAGAAAKCTAATGCCGGGAGTTTAAACTAAAAATAATCCATTAATTACTGAATTGGAACTAYATATTGCTTAATAGATGATACTAGTAATGGAGTCAGTTATAAATGTATGTCAGGATAATAATAGACCTGTTTCGAATTCCAAATTACCGCTGTGTTTCTTATGGTGGCTTGTACGGTGGCTTGTAAGGGCCAACCACATACAAAAAAAAAAAACTTGCCTTTTATCGCGCGATAAAGCCTCTCTGATTATCGCGCGATAAAACAACTTATCGCGCGATAAAACAAATTATCGCGCGATAACAAAGCTTAGTCACTATCGCGCGATAAATATCAACTTATCGCGCGATAACACTTTACTAGTGTTCAGGCTCCTACGGTCATTACGCACATGGACAAGATGGCGAGCGAAGTTGAGAAGATGAGTTAAACGTATGTAACAAATTGATGTCTTTATCCTTCAAAGGTAGGGTTTTCTTAGAAAAAAAAATTAATAAGTTTTAATAAGTATTTTTTTGTATGTGGTTGGCCCTTACAAGCCACCGTAGTTTCTTGATTACAGACTCATTTGCACAGGGTTAGCCTCGAGTTTGTGCAGAATATTCACGTGTTGCAGTCAAGGTCCGTCGAGCTTCAAAGTGTTTGTATTGTTGAAGTTGTGCATTCTTTACTTTACCGTTGGTATTTGTGAATATTTAAACACTGATACGAGGCTAACCCTGTGCAAATGAGTCTGTAATCAAGGAACACAGCGGTAACTTGGAATTCGAAACTGGACTATTGCGAATAATTTGTACGGGAGTGAAAAATGTTGGTAAATATTCGCTGAACCGCGACTCCCGTACGAATAACCGCGATTGCTATTCGTACGGGAGTCGTCAGAAATTCTATTGCGCGACATTTCCCGAACAGACTCCTGTACGAATAACCGCGATTGCGTGGCATTTCCCGCCGTGACACTGACCTCAGACTATACGAAAAAAGTGTCGCGAAAGTGAGTTGCTCGCAACTGAGTACAGACTCGTCAAATAAGTTTGAATCAAAATAACATCACTGACATGAATCGCCTAACTGGTCTAAACAAAAATGTCTCTATTAGGTTGGAAAAGAATACAGAGTTTCCGAGAAAATCGACGATTTTATTTATTATTATTATTTTATTATCATTTATTCAGAGCGCCTGCGATAAATTCAGCGGTAAACCACATTGCGCACTCTCAGTTGATATTTAGCCGTGTGGAGTCCCTCAGCAACAAATCTGTTTACCCAAGCCTGACATCATTTCAAGATGGCGCTTATTACTCATCTGGTCATAATCTTTGCCCTTGTCATCGTCCTAGGCGCTCTGGTTTTCCAGATTTTGCCGAGACTTTTCCCGAAGATACGAAAATCTTTGCCGTCTCAAAGCTTTATTAGTTATACTCAAACCGTGCCTATCATGTTCATGTTTGCAAGCCTGGCTTGGTTGTTCTTCAGTCGTTATCTTCAGTCTCATGTCGGACAAGATGCTTATTATACAGTCCATGGCTGGGCCCACATCGTTTTTGTGGTGTATGTTTTCAGCGTGGTGATTTTTAACTATCTTTGCGCTGTTTTCATCAAGCCTGGTTATCCACAAMCGCAGGAAGAGTTCACAAAGGAGAGGAGTTTCGTCAAGCGCTATGAAATCTGTATCAAGTGTAAAAAGATTCGAAACTTTGGAACCCATCACTGCAGCTGGTGTAACAGTTGTGTAAAAATGATGTGCCATCACTGTCCCTTCACCAACAACTGCGTGGGTTTGAAGAACTATGTTTATTATTACACATTCTTGGGTTATGCGTTCTTTGGTATGGCTTACGCATGTTATCTGGCCTACTTCCCGTTTTCTTCGTGTTATCGCGTGGTTGGTGCGAATCATCTCTCAAACCTTCTAAGCCATCCAGATTTCACTGCATTTAGTAAATATACTAGTGTAATGCATAAAATCAATGCCACTACACCAGAGATGTGCGAGCAAATGGGTGAGTACATCATCCTTCTGGCTCCAGTTGGTGTGGTGACCATCTTCATGGGGTTGCTCTTTGGTTTCCAGTCTCTACTCCTGGCTTCTGATTTATCTATTGTAGATTTTTATGACACAATTGGGAGGTCAAACTCTGTCGTAGAGTTCTTCAAGACCCTGTCCTTAAGCATCCGTAAGAAGAAGAAGTCACGGTTCTGGCTGATGGTTTACCAACAGAAGAGCAGATGGTGGAAATTTTTCCTTCCATTTTACATAGATGTGGAAGTTGAGAAACCTAATGGTAAACTGGACATGTGAATAAGACCTGTCCATTGGAAATAGAGTACCAAAGTGTAACATTTAGACTTACTTGAAATCCTTTAAAAAACTTTCATCTGTTTGGTTGCTTCAATCGTTCTCGCAGAGAGGTCAACTTGGAGCAAGTCTATGTAACGTCCAAATATCAAAGTTGAAATTCAGTTTTTAAATGTTCACTTTGCAGAGAGCTTGCACAACATTCCTAAATTTCTGCCAACTCTAAAGCCAAAAATCCTCATACATTTTCTCTTATTTTGTACTGAACGCAACCATGTTAGATTCCGACTCAACTCAATTAAGAAAACCAGATAAGAGAAAATGAATGAGAATATATATCTACATTGAAATACCTTTATCTCGGCTGTTTTTCACTCTGTCGCACTGATCTGATGTTCCACACTATATCATAATTCTTACATATAGTTCCTGGTAATGTTACCATTTACAGGAAACACTGGTGGTGTAGCAGTGGGAGCATTTGACTCTCACCAAGGTGACCTGGGTTTGTCATTCCCAGGTTTGGGGACATGTGAGTAGATTTCGTGAGTAGAGTGGTATGTTAGCAGTCTTCTATGCTTCAAGGGTCTTTCTCTAGTTTTCCTTAATACTCTGCAAAAATCAATTTTTAAAATTCCATTTGGAATTTAGTAGATGGAGAGCTTCTCTGTAGAAATGCCACTGTTAGATCCATATAATTTTATTTATCTATTAATTTTCTACCAAGAGGTCTTTAAAAATGCTTTTGTGATTTCATCACTTTGATACTCTATTTTTCATCCTTTTAAGAATATTATGAAATTCACATTACTTCTAAGGTCTTTTGGCATTTCTTATTATTTGCTCTTTCGTTTCTAAGGCACCTTGGGAAAAAGAAGGAGGGCCCTCACATATCAAAAAATGAAACCTAGAACATCACAGATGCATTTCTTGTTTTGAGGCATCAAAGAACATTTTCAAGCATGTTCGCAATATTTTTCAATATATTTATTGTTGTTATTTAATGCACGTATACTCATATACATAAATCATAGGGCCATTCATACGGGGTAAAATAAGGTGTGTTTTAATTACCCCTGTATCAATAACCTTATTTTAAAATTCCATATAAACTAGGAATTATTTTCAAAATGCACTTATTTGATAATTTAATGCACGAATGAAGCAAAACAACTAAAATATATGTTGTTTAAGCAGTATTTAAGGTATCCTCCATAACCTAGGGGTAAAATTGTGTCTCTCATTTCTCACTGCCAGAAAAAAAAAAGATTTTGTTCTGAAATATTTTTTTCTGGTAGTGAGAAACAAGGGACAGAATTTTACCCCTGGGTTACCAAGAATGTATTTAAGGTATAAATTATTAAGAAATATTTCTGCACTGTTATTTATGAATTTCTAAGTTACTGCATAAGTTTTTTATAAATATCACAATTTTGTAAATAGTTCATTCAACTTTTCTTGTAACTTTTTAAAATAGTGTCAATTTCAATAAACCACACGTTCGATGTATGTATGGTTTCTATGGTAACTGCAAATCCACTGTAAACAGGTTCTTGAGTTCCTCATCCGAAACAAGCTGAAAAGAAAAAAATTCTTTTTATGTACTATTTTGATATGATTGATTTTAAAAGCCATTCTCAATTGAACAATCCCCACCCCTTGGAAATTCCAATCCACCTCTGTGGGGGAGGTATGGATATTTTCTGGTACTACACAATATACCCTCATCAGACCCTCCCCACCCCTTGGAAATTCCAATTCCYCTCCGTGGGGGAGGTATGGATATTTTCTGGAACTACACAATAATACCCTCCTCAGACCCTCCCCACCCCTTGGAAATTCATTCCAATGCTTCTCCGTATATAGGGAAATAAGGACATTTTTCAGAACAGTGCAATATATAGTGTTAGCTTACTTTGAGAAAGTCTTGGTATGAAAGTCCTTGCTTATTAGCAGCATGCTTATTATTGGTTGTCATGACGATGTTGAGTATTTGTTTATCAGTGAGTGTGGGTCCAAGGAGTAATCTATAAAAGCTAAACATCTCGTCTTGACTTAAGAATCCATTACCATCTGTGTCCAGTACCTTAAAAGCAACTAGTGAGTTTAAAAAAAAACAATTAAAAGAAGTTTGCAAAGATAGAGTCCATGCCATCTTTATATCTGTGAAAAAGGTAACTAGTAAAACTGTACAACTTAGTAGTTTGTAAAGTTTTGTAGGTCGACAGTCTACTTAACTTACTAATTTGTGCAATTTATCACAAAGTTTTTCACAGAGATAAATGCACTCTATTACTAATAATTTCTTTTTGTACAACATTCTACATACACTTTTTCCTTTTCTCCAGGGGTGTTCTTGAGCTCAGCATGGAAAATAAATTCACAAAATTCTGAGGCGTAATGCCTTTTGTTGCAGGATCCAGGAAAAGTGCTGCGACCTTCGGCATGATTGGGATGGTCGATACTTCAGGGATATCAAGGAAGTACTTTATAGGGATGGAGTGGAAGTTATCTGTATCATAGTGAGTATAGCGTTGGAGAATTTTGATTATTTCTTTGGATGTAACTGAAAGGTAAAAAAACAATTTGTTAGGGTCGATCCATTTCTTATTGGGGAGGGGAAGGATGGTGGTGGTAACCCATACCAGACTTCTGACACCCCTATTCATTGTTACATAAAAAATGGTCCCTTGTATTTCTTTTGTTTTTTATAAAAGTGCTATGCGTCCCAAATTCTCTTGTGTGCCCCCCTCCCCCCACCCCAAATCCCACTTGTCTTACCCACTATAATGTGTCGTTTTTCCTTCTTTTTTTGTTGTTGTTGTAAAAGTGCTATGCGTCCCAAATTCTCTTGTGTGCCCCAATTCTCTTGTGTGCCTCCCCCCACCCCAAATCCCACTTGTCTTACCTACTATAAAGTGTCCTTAACATTCATTTGTTCATTTGTTCTCTTTGCTATGCGTCCCAATTTCTCTTGTGTGCCCAAATCCTCTTGTGTGCCCCCTCCCCATCCCAAACTCACACCCRTCTTACCCACAATAAAGTTTCCTTAACATTTATTTGTTCATTCGTTCATTTGTTCATTGTTTGTTTGTCTACCTACTGAATTATTTTAGTGTTTTTTAAGTCAGCTTTAGGGGAAATTATTTTGTTTAATAGAGGCTTTGCACCATCATGTGATGGCAGCCATGACAGGGAGCAGGAACAATTGATTCTGGTCTAATCTGATTTACATAAGAAAGGATTCAGTTTCCCAGGTGGAAAAGACTATTGTTATGCCTCCTGTCATGGCTGCCACCACGTGATGGTGCAAAGCCTCTATAGTAGACGAGAGGAATGTCTGAGAAATGTATATCATGTAAGTTTTAAATGAAGCTTTCTCGTTGAGTGGCTAATTGCTATCTTCTCTGAGCTGCCAGTAAGGCATGGATATTTCTTGTAACTAAGCATTAATAAACATTAGCTTAATGTGGTGAAAGGAAAGGTGACAAAATAAGCTTTTAAAATGTAGTACCAAAAAAGTACCTTTGTCAATAAAATCTTGTTAACAATTTTTTGGCATTATACAAGTTTATGTCAAAAATGAAAAATGAAAAATCTTTTTAATTTTCAGTTACTTTTTTAAAATTTTATTTTGCATATTATTCAATGTTATGTATGCTTTAAAAATTTTCAAATTTCTTTAATTTTGACTCAAATGATTTTAATATTTAAGATTAAAGATTTGAAATAAGAAGCCTTTGTGAGGAAAAAATGATAAAGAATAAAGAATACATTTCCTAAATTAAAAACCTTGATTAACTTCTACTTAATAAAGATAAATGACAAGAAGAACCAAAAACTAATATAAAAAAGATTGAAATGAAGACCTCTTAGGCAAGAGAAATGACAGATTATCTTGACCATTAATACAATGTGTCAGTCATAAGAACAATGGACTGAACATCTGGTAATAATATAAGAGTCATAAAAACATCTTCTGTCATGAATGATGTTAAAGAAAGTGTTGCCTTCTGCATTGTTTCTGGGCATGTTAACATTCAAAGGACAGGTTAAAAGTGTTGTGTTTTTTTTGCTTGTTGAAAGATTTTACTTTTGTGAAAAATAGTATCTGCCTCGTACATACAGTTGGTGGTTTTCTCAAGGTCTTGGATAATTTGTTCTGGAAGAACTGAAGCTCCTGATCCCTGTTGAGAAACAACAAGAACTCTTGAGTCACAGTTGGAAATTCTGACTTCAAACATTAAACCTGGTCATTTCCTGTGAAATAAAGTAAGTATATTTGAGAGCAATATTTATTATCATCATGCTGTAATGTCAAGAGAATCTCAAACATTCCAGCAAGAAATTTAAAGTCAATGTATATGAAGTTCCATGAACATTAGTACCATTGTGTAAAAGCCACCAAGCCACATAATTAGAGAAATTACTGGTTCATCTCTAAGTTATAGTGGTAGAAGAAAGTTATACATGAATGACAAATACTTTTTTCATTGTTTTTTGTGCAAAATACTATACATTTTGATGAGAAATKTTTTACTTTAAACCTGCTTTAGACATGTATCTAAACTATATTATAAGCAAAGGTGTGATTCGAAGGATAAGTTGGTGTGAAAAATACAGCTTAACAATTGAATGTGATATATTTTTAGCATAATTCATAACAAAGGAAGAGTGAAGGGGTGAAAAATTGTAGAAACAAAAAAACGTCAAATTCTACGAAATTTTGATGAAATTATTCGTAAATATCCTCTAGATATAAATTTATGATATAGTTTACCACAAAATGTATGTTTGAACTCTTGGCTTATATGTTTTACCAATGTTTTCCCTTAAAAACGTTTTATATTAATTTCATAGTTCTTTCTTAATAAAGATAAGGGCATTTGGAAAAGAAGACAAAAACTTAAAATACCTTACAACATTTATCATAATATTTTTTTATCAATGTCTGATTTATGTACACATTATTTTTTTGTCTGTAATTCTTACGTCTCTCAAAATGTTCTTATATATTGACTAGCTATAAACAAGTAATGTTGTTGCATATTGTGAAAAAATATCTAAAAGTGCATAAGATATAACAATTCTCATTTCACTGTATCCATGGAAACGCATATTTAACAATATTGATTGACACAATAACTCTTGCAAGCTTCTGGAAAGATCTGATGAAATTACCAGGGCGACAGATGGTGTTCGACAATTTTCATGCATGAAACTTTCAGCATGAATGAAGGAGAAATTGTTTTCGTTATGATGTATAATTTATTGACCCTCTTTCAACAAAAAAACTCAGAGGAAAAGAACAGCACTTGAATAATTTCCAACTACTTTTTCCAAACAAATCCGCTCTTGGCTTCCTTATAGGAAATATTTAGGTTGAAGACCCTTTTGAGATGCATAATGATCAAGAAAGTATTGTTTTTCCAGGAAAAAAATTGAGTTAAATTTAAGCTTATAAGCACTAGAGAATCGTCGAGGAAAAACAGAAAATTATAAAAGCCTAGAAAACACCGTTAAGCTTACCATTTTWAAGTTATTTTAAGGAACATTGACGGTTTGAGGGGATTCGATATACACTCAACCATTTTCTTTGATCGTCTTCGTTCATTTCATTCACATTTTTGATTATTTTTGCTTGAAATTCACAACAAATTTCAACGTGTTTTTGAGCTATTTCACGCTTGTGTAAATTTACACAACTCTCCAATTACTAACCAATCAGAAAGCGCGTAAAAAAGATTAACCAGATGTTTAGAGTTGACCAATCAAAGTCTTCGTTTTATGTTTTCGGCTGATTAGGAATAAACAATAGGTACAAGTTTGCGTAACTTTTTTCGACAAAATCGTTTTAATTTTGGAAAGAAAATACTATAACTAAACGAAAGGAAATCAAAGATACAGAGTATTTGTTGGTTTGGGGAGGGAAAAAGGCGGGAAAACACGAAATTCAACACAACACCTGCATGGCGGTATTTTTCAAAGGGATGTGAGACAAGCCACCGTACTCCCTAGAGTCCAGCGCTGTTGCTTTTCTTCGCTAATATGATAGTTATGACTCCATGAAATTTAACTAAAAACATTGACTTAGGCTTAAGAAATGTCTACTTGAGTTGTATCGGAAAATAAGACCTGCAAATAGCAGAACTCTGTTGCGTGACGAGCAGCGCGAATCGGCAAAGCAAATTGCAAGCCGTCTCGTGTTATTCATGACTTTAGCGTTGTACAACAAATTGCGCAAATACATGGACAGCTCAATGTGGACCATGTGTTGTCGAATCCAACATCACACGAAACGTTATGCTCAAATGATATCTTAATAATAGCTTACACGCAAGTTAATTAAGATTGTTTTCGATAAATTTTGGCCATTTTAACGTCGCAGACAATAACAACTTTCTTACTAAAGTACAAAAATACACCAACTCGATGATTGGCTGTGAGGTGTGAAGACCTGTCTAGACATTTCGAGGACGAGTAGGACAGACGTGGTAGGAATGTACGTATGAAAAGTGATTTTCCCGAGTTCTGTGTACGAGGAGTTGGACATATGGTTAATTTTGAACGCGCTGTCGAACATTGACTAACAATATTATTCACAAAGCACACAGTAACACACCGGGATTGTCTGTCGTCCAGTTTGATTAACGCCTTCGAAGGCTGCCTTGTTTCGACTTTTAGCACCTCAGCCCGGACTGGAATAATTTACTGAACAGTTTGTCGACGTACGTAGMCGCCATTTTTGTTTTTAAAGAAGAAGTTTTGTCCACGTTGAAGAAATTTGCTGTCAACTGGGTTTTTCACTGCATGTAAATTGATTTTTGCTCTGACTGAGTTTCCAATAAACGGTTTTCGTGACCGGCCTCTGCTTCATTAATTCTTAAGCCGTAAATTCAGACCGCTTTTTTTATTCCTACAGGTCGATAGCAAGCGAAAACAACAGCATTCTCCCGAGGCCATGGACTGCTTAACGAGAAACACAACACAAAACAGGTGAGCCAACTGTTAAATAGAACCTTTCGTTCCGACTTTTCAAGCCTGAATTTGGCTTCGCATGATTCAGTGAAGGCTAAACTCATGCAGTCAGCGCTGTGTAAATATATTCGTACGCGTTTACCGACCCATGGCGTGTGTAAACCCTTTACCAATAATCATATTCAGTGCACGATTCGGTCAGATGTTTGGCATTGTAAAATGTCAAGTTAAATGAGACGAGGTGCACGTTAGTGGTCGTTAGTTAATCCAGCTACAATCAGGGGGTTTTCACAGACCGGACTGTCACACTAAATCTCGGTGTACCATTTACTAAGATAAGCGAGCATAAAATACGGGACTGTAGCGATAAAAATTGGTAAGTACCAATTTAGTTTTATACTTCTTTAAGCACATTTTTACAATCCGTAATAAAAGGAATATATTTTTTCACAGCACGAAAATCTGGCGACCATGGGACGAAGACACAACGAAAATCGATCCCACAAAATGCAAAAGACTTCATGTAAGTTCAATGTTAGCTTTTTTTAACTCGTCAAAAATCTATTTGTTGATCAACCCCGACACAGCATTTATTCTTTTTTTTTTTCTCTCTCACTTAATTAATACCTGATTTTTYGATTCTAATGTTAAAAAAGGAAAGCTTTTCGATAAAGAAGCCATCCTTACTGGACTGTCCAAAGTTCGTTATGGCACCAACAAACGCTTGGCTTAGCCGCACTCGAGTTTTCCAGAGCGATACCCCGTGAGATATTCTCTTGAACCAATACACTATCTTTCACCCTTAATTTCAAAATGAGTTGTTTCGACTGGTTCGCGTATTTTTTATCACCATTTAGCGATATTTTTAAGGTGTTGGATTTTATTTCGTAAGACTGTGATTGCGTGCGTTCTACACCTCTTCTTTTGTTAACAGCCAGATTATCTGAAAAAACAAAATGTGTTGCTCTTTGTCACTTTTGCTTGAGAACCAAATTAATTCTCTGGTGTTTTTTTCGCAAAGACACCAGGAACAAATTGGTCGGATTTGATAATATTTTCGTAATTGCCAGGGCTTGGTATCCGTTTACTTTGATAAAATTTTGGGTTGGGAAAGCTTGCGAATAGTGGTCCCTAGGTCCTTGTGAGAAACTGTCACACTTTTACTTGTATTCTCGATCGTTCCAGCAAGAGTTACTATTAACCCTTATATATCAGAGTTTAAATTATCTCTTCTCATTTTCTATTACTTCTGTCTTTTTTCCACACACAGCATTTGCACTAAAATCTAAAGGTTAAACATTTAGACTTTTTCCTCGTGTTTTCTTCTACGGTTTTGAAATAAAAATCAACACTGCTGAAGCTAAATACCGTATTTAGAAAACTTCGATAATATCTTACTAAATGAAAAAGAGAAAAAAAATAATGAAAGCAAGAAAGAGTAGAAGAAAAAAAATGACACCTTCTTAAATGTGTATAAATTAGTTTTGCTTGGTTTAAAACAGATAGATTGTCGATGAGTACTCCAGTTTAATATTTCTCTCTCTCTCTCTCTTTCTTTCTCTTTCTATCTATATTTACCCGCCCTTTTCAGCTTCTTTGTCCCTCTCAATGTTGAATAAAAACAAAAGAGCTTGCATGAATACTTATTTATACTCTCTAGATAAAAAATACAAAATAAAAATTTTAAATAAAARAAACCTCCAAAAAGCCCCTTTTAAGAACACACTCAGCCCTATGCAGTGCTACAATTTTTTTAAGTGCAAACTTATATTGTATAGCCTTACATATTTTCATATTTCATTATGCTTYGTCTAAAATTTTTCGGTCGACGCCTATTTAGCCGAACACGCATTTTTGTACTAAACCTTTTTCTCACGGTTCGGTATATAATATTAAGTTTAGATTTAAGAATAAAAAGGCAAAACAAAGCAGAAAAAGGAAATTTTCCTCGCTTTGTTCCTGGTTTTTTCGCGGACGTGGTGCATAATTCACTTCCTTGGACAAAAACCGATTCTGCCACGCGAGTTTGTTAATCTTACGGGTGAAAGCTTTTAAAACAATAAGCTCACCAGAAAAAAAGCCTCAACAAAATTAGTTTGAGAAGTATCAACGGGTTCTTGTAAACTTAAACTCCGGTTTTTAGATGAAGAATTTGAAATTCGAATTTGATTCTTCAAAGGAAGCTTTTAAAGTGCCCTCTCAAGAATGATTTACGAGCGCTTACAAACAAAAAAGCGGCCAACACTACACAATAAAACTACTTTTCCTTCCCCCAAAAAGCAATAAAAATACTTTTGTTTTTAGTTATCTAAAAAACAAATCCTTGAAATTGATAATTTTGGTACCTTTTGTAAGCAATATGTTCATAGGGGGAAACGTGGTTTGGCGCGTTGAGAGAAGTACGTGCGGGGCGTCTTAAACTGAATCCTTTTCAGAACAAATTGTAGCACTTGACTTTAGAGAAAGTGCTAATCATAATGTTTCGAAGACTAATTATTGACTCTCCTTTGAACTTTYCTAGAAGAATAAATAAATAAATAAAAAAGAAGGCTAAAATACTGAAACTTTAGAACGGCTTCATCGGAAGTCTAATTTTGTTCATACGATATTTTTATTTTATTTTTATGCTTTCTTCTAAATTACACTAAACTTTGGTTGTTGAAGAACCGATACGAGAACTTTCTTATTCTTTATACTTCCTTCTAGAGTCCCTCGCTTTTTGACCCGTGTTGACAGAATGCTCTGACTTAAGTTTAATTTCAAAGCGTTTTTGTCATTTGAAGAAGCTACTGATTAGTTTCAACGATGGTCATAACTTCAAGACCTTTTTATCAGTTTAGTCCGAATTATTTCTGCTGTGGGACGTCAAGTTTACTCCAGCTTGCCCCTGAAATTCAACACCTCGTTGAAGATTCCGTGAAAATTCTAAAATTCCTTCAGAATGAATTAAGGCGACTATCTTTTGTCTTCCTGGAAATACAATACCATTCCCACAACATGATGGGTTGAATTGATCCAAGTGGGTTGGCCAGGAAACAGATGGTTTTGTTCTTAAGAGAGCTAACTTCCCATCTAAGGGATTAAAAATCTAAGAGGAGGGAAAGGGTTTATTGTTTCCTTTTATGTAACTCAGAAAGTTTTGCTAATCAAAATAAACTTTAAAWTTTTTTTATAAGAGTAAATGGTTTGCACTGGACTCTGAAGATGACTTCTGCTCAGGTTGTCGAAACGTCAGTCACCACCACCAACAGTCTTTCTCAAGACTACACTCACCTGGACGATCCCATTTCACAATAAAATTTTATATCAGCTTTAGGACTAGTTGATCGCAAAACTTGGCTAGTGAGCTTTCTGTAAAAAGAGTTTTGAAAAAGCGGCTATTAAGAAAAATGAGGAAAAATAGCTTTACCGATTGAAAGATTAAGTCAAGTTTTGCGTCTTCAATTTTTTGACTCAACTGTATGTAAACCAATTGAAACAAAGGAAATAACCTAAAGAGATGCACCCCGGCCTGCTCTCAGTCTGACCTCTAGCTCAGCTGGTAGAGCATCGGTAGTACAATTCCGAAGGTCGTGGGTTCGAATCCCAGCGAGGTCGGAAATTAATTTTTCCGAATTTAATTCCAAGGGCTTTCGCCCGGAATAACCTCGTTCCCAAGCACTACAACTTACCTATATTATCTTCTACTATTTCATTAGTGCCACGCGGTCCACATACTCTCACTTAAATAATGAATAAGTATTATAATTCTTAGTTTCCAAGGTTTTTTTTTTCTTCCAAAAAATAAATTAAAATAAATTGATATACTAGGTTAGGCCATTATCTCAAGTTTTTAAATTACCTCATAAATATTCATCCCACTTTGATTAAAAATTCCAGGTTTTCTTTGTTTAGAGATAAAATGATTAACCACTTTCACACATGCAATGGTTTTATCTTTTATGGACCAGAATTTTGCAAAGTTTGAAAAAAAAAAAAAATTATCATAGTAATTTGTAAATGAAAGTGCAGTGTTGGATCAAACATTTTATCAGAATTAGGTGTTTCATTATAATATAGTCTTTTTCTTAATTTTACCCTATTCTTTATTAATACTGTTTTTGGTTGAAAAAGTTTGTTTCACCTGTTTCTTAATTGATATTAGAACCAATGCAATTATCTTGAATAAAAACAAARTTTGAGAAAAATGACGAATAATTTTTCATACGGTTTGGATATTGAAATGGTCAATAAGCTGTTAATTGAAGAAGAAAAGAAATGAAAAATGGGTTTAACATTTTTTTATGGATTCCTTCATTCTTTGTTCTTACAATTTATTACAAAAAAATGTTCTACCTTTAATTTTAAACTCGGGTTTTACTTTTCTTCTTCTTGTTGATATTCGTTACATTCCTACTTCTTTTTCTTTCTTTCTTTGAAGCCACTTTCCTCAGTGATGGCAAAGCTTCACTGATATACTGTTACTCAAAGCATATCTTACCAGTCACTTTGCATGTAAACCATTAGTAAGCCTTTTAACTAGCATAKTTGTCGCCTGAGAAACACTAAAAACTAATTTCTAATATTTGTGACTTATTTACAGCCCTACGTGAGACATCCTACGAGAAACCAGATGCAGTCAAACTTCCATCCACTGCAATCGTATGTTAGCACTTTCGAGCATCCAGTAAGGTATCATTTGATCCTTCCATTAAATATTTCTCTTTGAAAAGCTCGCACATAGAGAGACATTAAAATTTTRTAAGGAGAGATGTGAGGGAAGTGTTGTTGCTGTTGCCGATGCTGCTGTCATTCCTGTTGCTGTTGCTGCTGTTATTGTTGGCTGCTGTTGTTTCGGTCGCGAGTGTAGATGTTGTTTTCGCTGCTCCTGTTGTTGTTGTTGTTGCTGTTTTTATTTTTACTTCTGCAAGCGATTCTGTTGTTGTTTGTTATTGTTTTTAACTATCGTTTTTAATCTCACAGACTTTATTGGACTAAAGCTGCCTACGACTATATGTACGAAGCAGGAGAAAGATTACTTAGAAACTTCCCAGTACAAGCGACAATACAAGTGGTTGACGATAGTGATAGCAGTGACGATGAAGACGACGACGATGATGAGTATGAAAACAATGAAGACAAAAAGAAAGAGGATGACACAAAAGATATAATCCAAGAGGACAAAGGAAACAAGAAAAGTGGATGACAAGAAGCACAAAGTGTAAAAAGAGACTCAATATTTTCAAAAAATATTATGTAGAAATATACAGTATTCCTGGTAGCCTGGCTGTTCGAAACTGAGAAGAGAAAAGACGATTACTGCGACCATGCTTTATCGAAAAAACTCAACGAAATTCAATTCCATTCAGTCATTACAGAAGTCCACGAAGTTGATCGACGGAAATTACTATCAGTTGTCGTTAAAATAGCATTCTTTATGGAGTTTTGCGTGCGTTGCTTAATCGAAAGTTTAAGAAGATAATCCTTGTATCGTAGCTTTATCGAAACTTGAGAAAAACTTTCTGAGAGGGTTATGCCTCGCACACTCAAATGGCTTTAGCCGTCAAGAATATTTTCAGTTGAATCCAAAAAAGCGGGAAATGTTTCGAACAACAATAGACTCGGGCGCTTGTTTCGTTCTAGAAGTTCTTCCAATTTCTCGCTACTTCACGTTAACGTTTTCAATTTATTTGAAACCAAAACTTTTTAAATATCCGTTCATAAATAGAATTATGTAAACTCTAGTTTCTGCGAATTCGGCGGGATACCATCAGCATTCTTCCTGGTTTAAATCAGAACGTTTTTTTTTTTTCTAACGCTAAAAAGATATAGAGATACCATTTGATTTGGAAACGAAAGCCATTTTGAATTAAAAGAATTAACAAGCTAACAGATTCGCTTTCCATCAGTTTTCATGGAATTTTAATTAACATTTGTTGCTTTGACGCAGTATTTGAAGTTTTGACTTACTCACCAAACAAACAAAAAAAAAAATAGTTGAGGCAAAAACTCAAAAGTTCAAATACCCTGTTTTGAAACGGAAATAATGTTAATATCTTTGGCAGATCGATTAGATACCAACCAAAAGTTTACCATTTGAATTATCTAAATTATAGATTAAAAAAACTTTCTCACATGGTATCGAAAAAATTACGATCAAATTTCAAGAAAAAATAAGCGACATTCATAAAAATTTCTCTATAAACAAAATCGAAATTGGAAATTTAATAGGAATTTTATTCTTATTCCACAATAGGATGAAACTATAGGAAATTTGATCTTCGACAACCATGAAAAAATAGAGGAAAAACAAGTTGTTTATGAAACAAAGTCTGACAGTAATTTGAAATATTTAGACTTAGTCAATTGTGGTAAGAAAAGTTGAAGACTAAATTTTGATCTATTATTATTTATTGTGATTATTTTTATAATTATTTTTTTTTCTTCTTAGTGGCGTTTTCCTTTCTGTCTTTTCTTCTCTAGCTCTGTTTTCTAGGAGGACATTGCTTTGAAATGGCTTCCGCTCTAATTTAACCAATCACGAAGCAAGAAAATCATTTCATTCAATCGCAGTGCTTGATTGCGGAACCCAATTGAAAGACTACAAAACGTCATGCATTTTCTTAAAAAAAAAAAAAAAATTCGAGAATGTTCTAAAAATTCCCTTAGCTCCACCTCTTCTTTCCTTGCTTGCTTCCTTCATCGTTATCTCACCCTCCTTTCTTTCTTTTTTCTTTATATTTCTTTTTCTTTATCTTTTTCTTACCTTTTCCTAGTAACTCAAAACATAGCTAAAAACGCCTGCCTCTTTGATTTCAAATGAAAATTAATCTTTATTGATTTTTACAACAAAAAAAAAGTTTTTTACAGATAGATTTTTCTCCGGTTATATTTTAGCACTTTATAACCATATTTTCATTTTTCTACTTTATCTTGTATTTCTCTTAAAGAGAAAATTATTGTATGTAGCGATTTGATCAAAAAATAATCAATTCAAAGAGTTT